TTGTCGAGGTATGTATAACAGGGGCGAGAGTGCGTGGGTCGCAACATGTATGACACGGGCGATGTATGACAGAAGGGCGGCGAGTAAATTACAATCTGGAGCCATATGAGAGCTGTGGCGCAATCCAGTAGCGTTATCGCAATTTGTATGACTGGCCGACGCGGGTGAGGCGGGAGCGGCGGAGTACAGAAATTGTTGCCGAGGTATGTACAACAGGGGCGAGGATGCATGGGTCGTAACATGTATGACACGGGCGTTCAGATCCAGTCATTCATTGTTGAGTGTATATGACAGAATCAAGGACGCAACGTACGCTACCCTGCGGTCGTGTGGTAATCAACTGCCGGCAACTATATGACACAAGCTGTAGGGTATCGTGTAAGCGCGGGTACGCAGGTTGTCAATGATTGTATGACAAGAGCAGAGTCAGTCATAGCTGGAAAGGCGCTAGGCATGTCAATATACTTGTCGTCGTTTATGCACCGTGCGTTGCAGGCAAGTACCGGAGATTGTATGACAAAGGTGGTCACCAGCAGTGGCTCGGTTTAGGGTCGTCCACGCGAACTGTCGCCGCGTGAATGAGCATTCTGGTGGTGAACTCGAACGCGTTGTATTCGCGTAGGCCGACTTGAGGCGAGTGGTAGCGTCGAGAGGCAACCGGTGGACCGACGGTAGCCGCGGGCACTCCACGGCGGGTTGCAACCTCTTGTAGCGGTGGACGAGACTTCATCCGCGCGGTACAACCATGCAGTCTTGTGTGTGGAGATATGTGTGGAGGGGCATAGACCAGATGGGGGAATTAAACAATCGGCCTGCTTCGCTTCGATTTGAAGCTCGTGGGTCTATGGATAATGGATTCTTGATTTCCATTATCTTTGACCAGCGATCCTACCAATACTCACCACATGTCGACGATTGCGGACTCCGTCAAACCAACTTACATATACAAACTCGTCCCTTCCTCTTCTCCGGTCCCTGAACCCCTTCCCGAACGCCTCCCCGTCAGCGACATCGACCAGTCGAGCGGCTTCGTCCACCTTTCCACCGCGCCGCAGGTGCCGGGGACGCTCAAGTTCTTCTTCAAGGACGATCCAAAGGTGTACGTCTTGCGCATCAAGTACGACGACGTGGAGGACAAGATTCGATGGGAAGATCCGAAGGCGGAGGTTTGCGGTCCTCGGGGTGGAGAGGTACAGGCCCAACCTCCCGCAGGTCTACATATCGGCGATACCAATTGACGTCTGGACGAGCAGGGAATGTTTCCGCATCTGTATAACGGCCTCAAGTTGGGCAAAGAAGAGGTCGAGAGCGTGGCAGTATGGGAGAGGTCTGCAGCAGGATGGGATGAGGCGTTGACCAAAGCCCAGTCCTGGCTTGTTTACTAGCTTCGCAAACAGCGCACGGGTATGTTTCTACTACATGCAAGAGACGACGTCCTCTATTATAATGATATCGATACTGATAGCGCTGATTCGATACAAGAAAACACAAAGAAAACACGGAGCAAAGAAAGCGCACTGCAAACACATGAACAGCAAAGACGGTCGTTAGGATATATATGGCATGAAAGCTTAAGGAAATGTCGAGGCGTGGAACATCGAGAGGCATAATAGTATGTCATGTGGAGGAAGCGCCTTCATCCTGCGACTCTTCGTCCTTGTCTCGTATTTGGAGATTCGATCTTGTTTTACGGGGACCCAGCGTGGAGATGGTGCCCATCACCGTGGACGTCTCGTTGCTTGGCTCCGATTCGAAACCGGTCGTTGTATGCCTTGAGCTGAATTCCATGCGAGGCAACTGGCTCGTTATTTCACGAGTGTATGCGCGACCTTCAGCGACTCGGAGGATGATCAAGAGCTGCGCAATCCCCTGGAAAGGCGGCGTTAGAGATGAAGACGACACGGAGAGGGATCGGCGAACGTACTTGAACGTGGCTATCGGGAAGGAAATCTATCAGAAAGTGACCGAAGATAGAAAATGCGGCGATGAAGGCAAGGCGCACCTGATGTCTAGGAAGATGAGATTTGATAGGTTCGAATGTGCCGCGAAAGAGGCAATATATAGCACGCCCAACACGGAGTACATTGCGGCGGACTCGATGACCATAGCAAAAGCCGACGTGAGGAAGGCCGCATGCTCTTTGCCCACGAACTTCCGTACTTGGTTGCGTACGACGAGGATCCTTCCCCCGACGAGTATCGTGTAGAGGATGTTCATACCAACTGCTATGCACAGATATGCGAGCTGAACGTCGATATTATAGAATATGGCGCCTGAATGTTCGTTAGCACGAGGTCGTATGAAAGAATTCGGTACCGTACCTCTCGAGTCCACCAAGACCAAAACAGACATGGCTGCAGACCGGTGTTCAGTAACATTCAACAATCAATCCCACGTCACCCTCACCGATAGTAGCGAGAAAGAGTGTCGTCATCGTGCACACTACAATGATGTGCTGGTTCCAGATGATGAAGCACCGATGGAGCTATCGACATGTTGATTCCATAGCTCTGCCCGGAAGATGGTCGTGGTTCACTTACCAACAGCGCCTCCATAAACCATTCCATGACGTAGTAGCTGCGCAGCATGAGTGACCGTCAATACGCGTACAGGGACCACCGTCGCTTACCAGGCGAGCGCCATTTGGTTTATCCAATGATCCAACTCCAACTCGAGCAGCAGCGGCGGTCCACCAGGCTCGTTTCGATCCTCCACCCAGACGGTCTGCGTATAACTCGCATTCCCAGCGAATCCGAGAGTAGCGAGGACGAACGTGATGGCTACGTAAGCCAGCAGGATCTTGTTGGTGGTCGTGATTTTGGCATGTTGTCGGTATAGCGCGATGGACGCTTGGATTGTGAGCAAGAGGAATATGCCTAAGGAGCGAATAAGTTAACGGACGTTGCAGGAATGAAGCCTCTCGCTCACCATACGACACACTAGCAAGGAGCATCCCATTGAAGCGCAGGCGTTCGAGCCATTTGTCAGAGTTCAAGCCCATGTTAGCGGCCGCCGGTCTAAACCCTCCCTCAGCTCGAGATTCGAGCCCTTTCAGTTGTTGGTAATGAGGTTCAACTTCAGCTGGTGGATGTCGTGAAGTGAGATATGTAGTCTCGGCTCCGGCGAGGTTGCTGCACAGGTAACGCTCTTGTACCCATGACAGTTCGCTTTCGACGTTGAACGTAAAATGCAAGCGAAATCTTCGTTGGCAACTTGGCGTGCCTTCCTGATCGGCTAGTACTGTTTGGCACAGCACTGAGCAGCATACGCAGAGCATGGAAAGGTCGTGATTTTTGCCCGATTGAGCTAGGGGCGTGTCGTTTAACTATACACAGGCGACTGATAAAGTTCCACTGGGAGCATGGTTGCGCCAGCCCGTGCAGGAAAGAGTACTGTACAGTACCGGTTCAGAGCTGGACGAGCGATAGATCTCGCTTAGTGAAGTCGTGAGAGGCAAAGAAGCGCTCTCCTGAGAACATTGGATGTAAGTGATATATCAGATCTTCCCTTTCCTCGCAGAACGCTCTCACCAAAAAACCCAAGCTAAGGGGGGCGACCGTTCTTATCTCAGTTCCAGCAAGTGATCATCTTATGGGCGCAATTGGTGGTGCGCGGTGAGCAGCTGCAGGCACACACAGAGCGCCTATCTGCCTTCGTCAGATGATACTAAATCAGAGCGTTTGAGACTGTGATAGCGCCCCGAGCGTCGGACAGTAACGATATCGTACATAGCTTGAAACACACGAGACGATGTCACAGGTAGAAATACTTCAAGACGTGGGTAAGCTGGCGCCAAGCGCCGTCCCCGACTCCCCCCCCTGGCCGCTCAAGATTCTCAAGTGCACTACTGTAAAGTGCAAGTATAGTACACTACGGAGATAGTTGTACAATAATGTAGTGCACTACGGAGATAACTGTACAATAATCCATTTTTTATGATGTTACATACTTATTTTACATACAAAATAATACTTCTGTCACAAAGGGAAGGCTTTGAGCGCATCCCTTCCCTTGGGAGTTGTCCAGCACGTCAAACAACAACGTGTCCAGGTCGTAGGCAAAGAGTATGCACATGTTGTAGGTTTTGCGTGTTGCAGCTGTAAGAAGAGCGTGCACGGCTTGAGATTTAAATTGCACACATCGTAGACAGTCGGGATTAGGGTGGGCCGGTTGTGCAGCAGCAGGAAAGGCCTGGGGTCATCTGCAGATGTACAGTGTAATGGCATTCCTTGATGCAGCCAGAAATGTGGCACTCCTGCACTTCCCACATAAGACTTTTCTGCTATCTGACTACCTGGGTATCTTTCAGTTACTTGAGGTATACTGTAGCAATTTTCTTGAGTGAAATCAATGAGAGACTCAAGGACAGACAAATTGAGAAAACGGTTGGTGAACAATGAATTTTGATTGTTGATGCAGTGGCAGTGTCTTCGCACCTGATACAGCTCATCACAACACCGGCTTACTCCGGTAAGCTTCCACACTCAGCCAGGCATGTCATGCACTGTGGCCGACCTCCTCTAACTCTTCAGGGTGTCCTATAGGCCACTCTCATGGATGGATACACTTGGGTCACTAATGAAAAATGGAGTATACACCTATATATATATACGACTGTGAGCTTTACTGGCAATCAGGTAAGTAATAGGTGCGCAATCGGTCATGCATCATACCATCAACACACAAAATAGCCTGATTTCAACAATGCTTGATTTCTAAAAAATCGAAGATATTTCAGATCTAGAATCAACATATATGCATCTACCTGCTGAATTCTTCTTGTGGTATGAAAGTTCGTCATTTATGCGTAATCCCTGTTTGCATCAAGGAGTGAGGGTGCAT